AATTATGCTACCACCTTTTTTTTTTTTTTTGACAGGCAGAGTGGACAGTGGGAGAGAGACAGAGAGAAAGGACTTCTTTTTTTCCATTGGTTCAACCCCCAATGGCTGCTGCAGCCAGCGCACCAAGCTGATCCAAAGCCAGGAGCCAGGTGCTTCCTCCTGGTCTCCCATGCGGGTGCAGGGTCCAAGGACCTGGGCCATTCCTCCACTGCCTTCCCAGGCCACAGCAGAGAGCTGGACTGGAAGAGGAACAACCGGGAGAGAATCTGGCGCCCCAACCAGGAGTAGAACCCAGGGTGCCGGCGCCGCAGGCGGAGGATTAGCCTAGTGAACCGCAGCACCAGCCTAAAAAATTTCTTTAAAGCTCTGTTTACTTAGCCATATGAGTCAAAATGTTTGCCAACAGCATCCAAGTTTTCCATCATTCAAATTCTACCACTTTGAAAGTCACCCAGTAAGCACTTTGCCGGTCCCGTTCTGGATTCCCTGGAGTGAGACTTAAGGATGTTTATTGTTTCCCAAGCATTCTCTTACTGTATTCGCAGCAGGTTGTGACCTTGTGGTTGGAGACAAGATGGTAACATTCCCAGAAGAGGACATTATTAGATGTCGCCCCCCACCCCCCATGCCATCTACTCATAGATCTGCTAGGAGACAGTAGAGTGTTCTCTCTAGGAGTAAATGCAGGAACGGTCAGTACCCTTCTGCCTCCCCCCGGAACTGCTCCAGAGAAGCTTTCTCCCTCTGCTTACTAACCGGAAGCTTGCAGCAGTGGCTTCCCCTGGGCTTGGTCCAGCTTCAGCTGGTTGGCCTCTCTTCCTCTTTCCTTGTATCCTTTGTATCCACTACAATGTGAAGACTTGGAGGACACGGCCTGCTGCGAGTAACAGGAAACCCAGGTTGCAGCAGCTTGTTCCTGTGGTTCTCCCGGTGTGGTCCCAGGGCCAGCAGCCTCAGGCTCACCAGTGACCTTGTCGGAAGGCACATCCTCGGGCCCAACCACAACCCACTGAACCCCACATTCTAGGGTGGGATCCTTAGGATCTACCATTCTAGAAGCCCTCCGGGTGAACCAGGGGGACTCCAAAGTCCTTAAACCACCAAATTAAACTGCAATCAGATCAGTTTTCTCCCATCACAAGAAGTCCAGAGCTAGAGCAGGCTCAGCCGGGTGAGGATTGAAGCGCAGGCCTTGGCTCCTTCCTGCTCTGGGCTCTCAGCCTGCTGGCTTTGCTCTCAGTCTGTTCCTCTCGTGTTTTCAGTCATCCCATAGACGTGGTAATGCCCAGAGGAAACAAGGGGCGGTTCCCTCCCTGCTCTCCTTTAGGAGTGAAGAAAACTTGTCCATCCTGAAAGATGGCACTGGTGCACCTGGCCTAGACCAATCCAAGTTTCCTCCAGAGCCAGAATGCAGTCAGCGTCCCCAAGTGCCCGTGGCTGCGTGGAGGGGGTTGGGTACCAAACAAATCAGCGCTGTCGGAAACTAAAGTCTAAGTGAAGAAGGAGAGGCATTACGACTGCATGATTCCATGCGTGTGTGAAGTCTCTAAAGTCACATCACAGAAATGGATGTCACCAGGGATGGGGGAAGGACTACCAGGCGTGAGGGCCCAGAGTTGTGGTGCTTACCATGCTGAATCCTGTTAGGAAACTGGTGCAGTTGTAGCCAGGTGGCCGCATGGCCCAGCTACCTGAGCCAGGCTCCCACCCCCATCCTAATGGGATTCGCTGCTCCTGCTTCCCTGCCCGCCCTCAAGCAAAGTTTTAAAAGGGCCTGTTCCTGCACACATGCTCTCTTGGCCCTTCTCTCCTGCTCTCTCTCGGTTCCTCTCTCTAGCCTCCTCCTCTGGGCTCGTGGCTCTTGGCCCTTCTCTCCTGCGCTCTTCTTGGCCTCTCTTGGCTTCTCTCCTCTCTCTTCTCCCTCTCTGTCTCTCTCTCACAGTCTCCTTCTCTCTTTTTCCTTTGCCGCCCCTTCACTCCAGTCTGTAGGGTGTTCCCCAATAAACCCTTTCCCTTACTCCGGTGTCCGGTGTGCTTTGCGACAGCTAACATTAAGTTATAACAAATCCCATTTCCAAGTGCCAGCTCTAGTCTCAGCCGCTCCACTTCCACTTCATCTCCCTGCTCATGTGCCTGGGAAGGCAGCAGATGATGGCTCAAGTATTTGGTTCCCTGCAACCATGTGGGAAACCTGGATGGAGTTCAAGGCTCCAGCTTCAGCCTGGCCCACTCCAGCTGTTGCAGGCATTTGTGGATTGAACCAGCAGATGAACTGTCTATCACTCTGCTTTTCAAATAAATACACCTTTAAAAAAAATTCCTGGGCTAGGGATGTGTTGCCCAGCAGTGCAAACACACTGAACACTCCTGCGCCACACACTTGCAGGTGGTTAAGATGGGAAATTTGATGGAATGCGGTCTTTGCCACAGTAAAGCACATTACACACAAGAGGGCTTGTGGCGGATCAGTCTACGGTCTGTCTAGGCACAGAGAGTCACAGGTCTGGACAAGTCCCTTGCCCCAGGGCTGTAGGAAGGAGACGTGCTGGCTGAGAGACCTGGGCGTGCCCTTCTGCTCCCTTCCAGAAAAGTCCCTGTGCACAGTTGCAGAGGAGCCAGCGAGCTGTGGATAGGAGCACCACTGACAATTGTAGAATGTGGCTGACATAGCTCAGGCCCTGGGGCTGACAGACAAGCTCTTTCTTCCACACAATCTCTACTGTCCTATCTACCTTCAGAATCTCTTTTCCCTTATCCAGTCGAGCTTCCCTGGGGTTATAAAAGTGCTGGTCGGCACAAAGCCTTTTGTTGACTCCACATGCTGCACCTGAACACACCCACAGCAGCAAGGTCTGGAAGTGACAGCCAGGACCAGGAACAAGATCTAGATGCAGAAGGACCTGGGATTATTGGTTGAGTGACTTGCAGCTTTACCTTCTGCATGTCCTCATTTATGGACTAAGATGATCAGTATTCCCCAAGGTAATTATTGGAGGATTAAATGAGATGATGTAAGGAAAGCCCAATGTGAAGCTCCTAGTACAGCCTCAGTGAACAGGCTTATTTTGTAGGGAGTATTTGTAATAACAAAGGCAGTGTTCTGGTAGCCCTCCCCAGGCGTGCGGCTTTCCTGGGGTCTAAAAGCTGCTCGTTTCCGTCCTGCAGGTGCCGACTGCCAGTGGCTGGACACCCTGAGGTTGCGGCAGATTGCATCCAACACTTCCTTACAGCGCTCCCAGAGCAACCCCATCCTGGGCTCATCCTTCTTCCCCTACTTCGATGACCAGGTCTCCTATGCTGCTGCTGTGAGGAGGACCCAGGCGCCCATCAAGTACCAGCAGATCACACCCATAAACCAGTCCCGAAGCTCCTCTCCCACACAGTACGGACTGACCAAGAACTTCTCCTCTCTACATCTCAACTCCAGAGACAGCGGCTTTTCCAGTCTTAACACGGACAGCGCTTCCGAAAGGGGTCGGTACTCAGATAGGAGCAGGAACAAATACGAGCGTGGCAGCGTCTCACTCAACTCTTCTCCCAGAGGAAGATACGGTGGGAAGAGTCAGCATTCCACCCCTTCCAGAGAAAGGTATTCTGGAAAGTGCTACAGGGTTTCTCATCCCGCACTCGGCACTCACCAGTCACCTGAGTTCAGAAGGAGCCCAAATGACCGTCGCCAGCCCAGGACCATACCAGGGATGCCGCTGCACACGGAGACGGACGCACGAGCCGGGGATGAGGAGAGCAAAGGGAGCGAAGGCGGGTGGACCAAGGTGGAGTATCGCAAGAAGCCCCTACGGCCCTCTCCCACCAAGGCTGGGAAGGAAAGGGTGCGAGGAAACCTGCGTGGGAGGAGGACCTTTTAATGAATTGCACTGATGAGTTTTTCTTTTTGAATGTAATGGAGTTTGATAATGGGATGTCAGGTTCCACTATCAAAAACTCAACTCTTTTTTTTTTTTTGCATTGGGAAATACCTTTTAAAATTGAGACATAGCCAAACAAGGGCCAAAAGTGTGGGTGCTGGTTGCTCAGTGATGCTGCCTAGACTTGAAAGTAACTACACAGAATTCCTGTCCTGAAGTGACCTTTCTAGATGAGGAGTTGTGCCGTCTTTACTCCAGCCACTGACATTCTGGTTAGCAGGGCCGAGACCAGGGTAGGGCAAGTGAGGTCATCAAGATCAACATTCTGGATCAAAACAGGATCAGTATTGTGGCTTATTAGCAAGACACTGTTTCTGATCCTGTCTTCATTTTAAAATTATGATACTTTGTTTATCACAAATTTTTGCAGTCATTTTCTTTTTAAAAATAGTAATCAAGATAAGTGATATTTTAATGCACTGAATTTTTTTTGGATGCCCCTTTAGGTTTATGTTTTGTGCCCAAGGCAAGTGCCTTATCATTACACTCTTGTCTCAGCCTCCTTGGATACTATTTATTTTAGTAAGATATTTGTGTTTTTATCATGGTCAGACTTGAACTGATTCAGCTTATCATTTGTAAGCAATAAAAAAGATTATTGAACTTCATGTTAATTATGGTACATATCTCATTAAGATTCATCTAAAACCAAAGAGCTATTGCCTAGGAGATTCGTGGTTGTTTCTTTCCCTAAGCTCCCAGAGACCAGAGACTCCCTTTGAAAATTATTTTCTACATTTTACCAAAGAAGGCACAAAGAGGGGGAAAAAAACAACAGTCCATAAAGGTCTCTTGGGATGTCAGAATCTAAAATCTAAGAGAAAACAGAGCAAGATAATAACACCACAAGCTAAAAGCCTGAGAAATTTAAAATTACCAACATCCTCGTTAGAGCAAGACAGTAAATACCAGCCTTGCAGCAAGACAGCTCTAAGCAGCTGGGGGTAAAGAGAGACTGCCTGCAGTTCAGGGACAGGAAGGGTGAGATCCCACGTGTGCAACTCATCGTATTTTACAAATCAAAAAGATCACACTAAAGCTACTGCATATCAAATAAATAAATGTTGTTTTCAATATTCCAAGGTTCTATTGAGTACTCACTGACCCTCACCGTCAAGTGTCTTTGTCCTGCCCAGGATCCTCCAGGCTCAGTCGAAATCCTGAGGGCCCACTGGTGATTCTGCAGGTTGAGTTCTCCTTGCATAGAAACCAGGCCTCAGAGGTGGTGCCTGTGCTGTCAGGGGCGGCTGCCCTGCTCTCCTGCTCCGGATGGTACCTGGGGCCTGCTGGGAGAACTGTATGAGGGTGGTAGTAAATTCAGAGTCGTTAGAAATGACCTTGATCATAACTCTGGAACAATGAGATGCGGAGAGTTCCCAGGCTGGTGACTACATCAAGGAGTGGGGGTGGAGGGGGGCAGGGAGGGGAGGGGAGAGCTCCACACACTGCACCATACTTTGTCCTGTGGGATGCTCCTGGGCTTTAACCTTTATAATACACTGGTAAACAACAAGAAAAAAAAATCATTTTGTAAACAAAGCTGCCACGACCTAAACAGATTCGACCACTAATCTTGTAGAAGTCTTCTGGTTTGCCACATGCATTTACAAGTGAACGCAGTGGAAGCGGAGGAACCAGCAAAGGATTCTTGGTCTTGGGTGAGCAACGTCTGCTAAGGTTTGAAGCCTCTCTGGGACCCTTTCTCGTGGCGTTTATGTCAACCACAATCTGTTTTCAATTCTTATTCCCCTTTGTCCTTTGTGTCCAAATTTAAAGTAGACAACTACAAAAATACGCTATCTTAATATCATACTGTTGGGGCCGGCGCTGTGGCTTAGTGGGTAAAGCCGCTTCCTACAGTGCCGGCATCCCATATGGAAACGGGTATAAGTCCTGGCTGCTCCACTTCCGATCCAGCTCTCTACTAATGGCCTGGGAAAGCAGTGGAAGATGGCGCAAGTCCTGGGGGTGTGGGAGACCCGGAGGAAGCTCCTGGCTTCAGATCAGCGCAGCTGCAGTCATTTGGGGAGTGAACTAGCAGATGAAGGACCTCTCTCTGCCTTTGCTTCTCTGTAACTCTACCTTTCAAATAAATAAATCTTGTTTAAAAAAATCATAGTTTCCAAAAAAGCAATAAGATATTTTCTGATTAGAATTTCTGGATAAGTAGCCAAACACAGTCTTGACTTAGTTATTCCCAAAGGAACACAAAGTATGGCCTTCATTGTTAAAATGGGCAGCCTAGGGGCCAGCGCTGTGGTGCAGTAGGTTAATCCTCTGCCTGTGGCGCCAGCATCCCATGTAGACACCAGTTCTAGTCCCACTGCCCCTCTTCCAATCCAGCTCTCTTCTGTGGCCTGGGAAAGCCAGATGATGGCCAAGAGCTTGGGACCCTGCACCTGCATCAGAGAGCTGGAAGAAGCTCCTGGCTTTGGATAGGCGCAGCTGCAGCTGTTGCAGCCATTTGGAGGGTGAACCAACGGAAGGAAGACCTTTCTCTGTTTCTCCCTCTCACTGTCTTTAACGCTACCTCTCAAATAAAATCTAAAAAAAAAAAGGAAGCCTAAGTAATGACTTGAGGACTCAAGTTTGCAAGATGCTATGCAGGCCTGCACCGTGGCTCACTAGGCTAATCCTCCACCTTGCGGCGCCGGCACACTGGGTTCTAGTCCCAGTCGGGGCGCCGGATTCTGTCCCAGTTGCACCTCTTCCAGGCCAGCTCTCTGCTGTGGCCAGGGAGTACAGTGGAGGATGGCCCAAGTGCTTGGGCCCTGCACCCCATGGGAGACCAGGAGAAGTACCTGGCTCCTGCCATCGGATCAGTGCGGTGCGCCAGCCACAGTGCGCTGGCCACAGCGCGCCGGCCGCGGCGGTCATTGGAGGGTGAACCAACGGCAAAGGAAGACCTTTCTCTCTGTCTCTCTCTCTCACTGTCCACTCTGCCTGTCAAAAAAATAATAAATAAATAAAAAGATGCTATGCAAATGGCTGCTTCTTCATGCCATTTTCTTCCATCTTGCTTTCTTGAGCTGTGAGTTAGAGAATTCAAACTGGCGGTGAAATGACTCTGATCGCCTGCTATTTGGTGCAGTAGGTGATCTCAAAGAGGTTGTTCCAACAGTCCACAAAACTGATCGCTTTGTAATATCTCATGGAAAAATAGTTGTCAGCATCAATGCTCCTAGTTAAAATAAAAATGAGAACATCTGCTGACTGCTTCTTGATTGTAAAGAATTACTAAGAGTTGGGTGTTCTTTGTTTTGTTGTAATGATCCTTACCAAAAGTTACTTGCCAGGTGGAAAGATGAATGTAATTCAAAAGCAGAGTAGAGGTTAACAATAACTTTTTTCCCTATCAAAATAAACCAGTTGGGGGCTGGCACTGTGGCGTAGTGGGTAAAGCCTCAGCCTGTAGTACCAGAATCGCATAAGGGTGCTGGTTTGAGTCTAGCTGCTCCACTTCGATCCAGCTCCCTGCTAATGTGCCTGGGAAAGCAGCAGAGGATAGTCCAAGTGCTCTGGCTTCTACACCCACATGGGAGACCCGGAAGAAGCTCCTGGCTCCTGGTTTTTGACGGCCCAGGTCTGGCCGTTGTGGCCATTTGGGTAGTGAACCAATGGATAGAAGATCCGTCTCTCCAACAACTTTTTCAAATAAATAAATAAATCTTAAAAACAAAACAAAAAATAGTTGCCAGCAATGAGGAATTGTATTAATTGCAAGAGGCTGAGGTTAAAAAAAGAGTGAGTGGGCAGGTGTTTGGCTCAATGCTTGGGATACCTGCATCCCATATCAGAGTGCCTGGTTCAAGTCCTATCTGTGTCACTTCCCATCCAACTTCCTATTAATGAGCACCCAAGGAAGCATTAGGGGATGGATCAAGTACTTGGGTCCCTGCCACCCATGTGGGAGACCCAGATGGACTTCTGGGCTCCTGACTTCACCCTGGCTCAGCCCCAGTTATTGTGTGCATTTGGGGAATGAACCAGTAGATAGAAGATCAATTTCTCTCTTTTTCTGTGTGTGTGTTGCTTTGTCAAGTAAGTAAATTAATGAATCTTTAAAAAAGAAAACTCACTGGCACCGGCGCTGTGGCATAGCGGGTAAAGCAGTCAGCTGCAGTGCCGATATCCCATATGGGCACCAGTTCAAATCCCGGCTGCTCCACTTCCAATCCTGCTCTCTGTTACGGCCTGGGAAAGCAGTAGAAGATGGCCCAAGTCCTTAGGCCCCTGCACCCATGTGGGAGACCCAGAGGAAGCTCCTGGCTCCGGATCAGTGTGGCTCTGGCCGATGCAGCCAATTGGGGAGTGAACCGTGGATGGAAGACCTCCCTCCCTCCCTCCTTCCCTCTCTCTCTCTCTCCCTCTCTCTCTGCCTTCCCTCTCTCTGTGTAACTCTGACTTTCAAATAAATAAATCTTTAAAAAAATTATTATAAAAGTGGAAAATAACATGTCAGAAAATCAGGAAATTAAATTGACATAATGTTCACCCCATGAAACTGTTTAACAAAAGCATTTCTCAATATTTCTATAATTCAGACCAAAATGTTTAATCCATAAATATAAGGTCTCATTGTCCCAGTCAGACATCCAGGCCACTCTGGCTTTTCCGACTGAGGTGTACCACCACCTTTTCCGGGCTTGCGAAGTTCCTTGCCCGTAGCTTACCTGTTTAGCTCTGCAAGCTGGCACCACTGCGGTCTGCCCACAGGCATTGCTCACGTGTGAGCCGCCATGATTTGGTTGTACCAACTTGTTCACGGTGCAGCATTGACGTTTTAGACTACAGAGGCTGTACTTAGCAGACTCATAAAATCTCCTGCCGTTGTTGGACCCGAGAAGCTGCAGTACAGCCAGGGCACTCTGGGAAATACACAGGCCCAGGGCCCAGCACCTTACTGTCCATTTGCTGTCGCTCAAACTGGAATGTGAGATTGCTAAGGCGAAAGAGGTGCCAAATCCCTGGGGGAAGTTGGCAGCTGCCAGGGACTTCTCACTCTCATGCCCTTGACGGCTCAGCCGGCCCAACAATGCGGGACCAATTAAGATTCAGAATTCACAACCGAGGTTCCATTTACTCAGCTAGACCAGAGGGATTCCTTCCCTACCTGCCAGAAGACTCGGACTCAGCGTGGGGGCTGGCTGAAGTCCTGCCCGCAGAGGCCCCGCTCCACGGCTCCAGCCGCAGCCCCCATTTTGTACTCCTCTTGGGGGCCCTTATCACATAACGCCCTTGCACTGTCACTCAACCCTGCCACCCCACACCCCGAAGGTGCTCTCTGCGAACCGTGCTGTCCTCCTTAAGAACCTGGCAACGAGAGAAACAAAACCTCCCAGGGTTCATTGATGGAAGGGCTACAATTGCTGCAGTATCTCCCAGGCTTGAAAAATGTGTTTATAAATCAGAGAGAGAGAGGAAGCAACCCAGAGGACACTTGGCTTCTGGAGGCGAGAACAGGTTTGCCAATGGACAGAGCGACAGGCATTAGGAGCCTAGAATAAGTTGATCTGCAAAGGAAAGGGTTAGCCTTGCTATGCAAGCAAGACAACATGTCTGCTCCCATGTCCAGTCCGTAAAGACTGTAACGTGCACATCCACTCAGCTTGGGGAGCGTGCACTGTGGTGGTGGAGGTGGTACGACCCTGGCAATGTGAACCTCTTCTTCATCACTGTTTGCCTCATCCCCACAGCAAAGCAACCAAACATCACACTTTAGCCACACGGAAATAGCTGATGGACTCCCTCCTGTCTCCAAGAACTTTGTACTCTCTCCATCCAGTGATCTGGCCAAGTCAGCCTTGAGTTCTCTGCTAACACATCACCACTTCCAGGAAGCCTTTCCTGATCCTCAGACCTGGGTCAGGACCTCCACTGTGTGTCTGTGTGTTTGATCATTTAAAGATTTAAAAACATTTTTTTTGAAAGTCTGAGTTACAGAGAGAGGGAGGGAGGGAGAGAGAAAGGGAGAGATCTTCCATCTTCTGGTTCACTCTGCAAACAGCCACAAAAACCGGGGTTGGGCCAGACTGAAACCAGGAGCTTCATCTGGGTCTCCCACATGGGTGCAGGGGCCCAAGGACTTGGGTCATTTTCTGCTGCTTTCCCAGGAGTATTAGCAGGGAGCTGGATCAGAAGTGGCCCAGTCAGGACTTGAACCGGCACCCATGTGGGATGCTGGGGCTGTGGTGGCAGCTTAACCCGCGGCGCCACAGTGCCAGCCCCCACTGTGTATTCTTACAGAACCTTTGGGTTGCTCAGTCATATATATGCCCCTGGTAGCACTGTCCCC